CAGATCCATCGCATGTGGTGCAACCGGATGATGTGGAAGTTCGGGAGAACTTAAAGACTCCCGTCGGACCACTAAAGATTCTCGATCGTGGCGAGAAGCAGCTGAGGAGCAAGATCATTTCGATGGTCAAGGTGCAGTGGACCGGAAGGACTCCTGAAGAGTGTACTTGGGAGCGTGAGGACGAGCTTCTCCGGCAGTACCCCGAGTTTCGACCAGGTATGTTTCTTATTTTGAGGTCAAAATCCTAAAAAGGTGGGGTGAATGTAAGAACCCACACCGTTAATTAAGGAATTTAATTAATAAATTACGAGAAAATAGGAAATGATTCCATAATTGACCCTAATAATTATTATGAGGCTTTAATAATTATAGTAAGTGAGTAATAATGCTGAAAGTCGCTTTTCGGAAGAAAAATGCAGATACCGGTTCTGCTAGTCTATATAAATGCGTATCGAAAAAGTATCCCGGAAAATTATAATAAGTGTATAAAAATTACTAGAATGATATGTAGGACTTGTAAAATGAGTTTCAAGTCCAGATAATGAGAACTGGTGCTGGAAACCGGTACTGGCTTGGAAAAGCACGTACCAGAAAAGTGCTCATAAAATTATAAGAAAAATATGATAAATCTTAGAAAATTTTGTAGTTTCATAATCCAAAGTTTGGGATTAAAATGCTAAGCGTAGCAATTAAAGTTAATACTGTGTATTTAATTGTTAAACCACTATATAAGCCTTAGTGGGCACTAAACCCTAGGCTATATTACATTCTCTACGTGAGTGAGTGAGGGTGGCTGATCAGCTTGGCTGCTCCTTGGGGTTTCTTCTCCATTTTGGGTCCAAGACACTTCCTTTCTTGATTTTCTTCACACTTTCACTTGGGAAACACTTGGGAAACATCTTGAGAGGGTGTGAGGGTGCTGTGCTTGAGGTTTGGCCACTGTTTGTGTTCTGAGTTGGGGTTTGGGTGGAGTTCTTCCTTGCTCATTGGGTTTTGAGGCTTAAAGGAGCTTTCTTGTTGAGTAAGAGGACCACCTTGGTATACCATTTTCGTGTGCAGAGAGAGACAAAACCTTGGAGTGACCTTTTGAGCTCCAAGAGCACCTCTTGTTGGCTGATTGAGTTTTGGTAAGCCTTGTCACCTTTGGTCTTGAGTCTTTGAACTTAAAAATGAAAGCTTGATGCATGTTAAGGCTTAAAGATGATAACTTGTTGTTGAGTAATGTTGAACACACCTAGAAATGCATGTTTAGGTGCTTTATATCGTTAAAAACCCAACCTTGGGAGGATATCTTCACGAAATGCATTTTCTGCATTCTGTCGTGAAATATCCAGATATGTGCCCGATGAATATCCAGATATGTGATATCTGGATATGGGTTTTGAGTATCCGGATAATAGATATCCAGATATGGGATTCTGGATATTCGGATATTGCATATCCGGATATGTCTAGTGAGATATCCGGATATTGCATATCCGGATATGGTCCCGAAGAATATTCGGATATTCTGGGATTTCGTAGAACAGTAGCTGTGCGGTGTGTACAGTAGACTATTGGGGGTTTGTGGACCCTAGATTGCTGAAGTGGAACTTCTGTAATTAATGAACTAAGTCAGAATCAAGTGATTAAGGGCTTATGGCTTGGTGAGAAGCCTTAAGACATAAAACGTAATGAAAAGGCGTTGTCTTAATATTGTATGCTTATGGTGCTTGTTGTTGATGTATAGTATTGGTCCATAACAGATTGTGAATCTGTTGTGTTCGGACTTTGAGCTGTGGACTCTTGGCTTTGGGAGTTAGCTTGCAAGGTAAGCTTTCGTGTCATCGGTTTAGCCATGTTGTGGTTCCACCATGTCCCATGGGGGTATGGTTTATGCATGCTGTGTACATGCTTTTGAATATTTGATATGTTGATTGAACTCTACATGTAATGGCTTTTAATATGCATGTGTTGTTTCATCTTGACGAGAAGCCTGAGTATGTAGTGCCATACAAGACGGTGTACCGGGGTGAATGCAAGTGGTACTTGCACGGTGTGTAGGTGATAGACGTATACCTGCACTGTCTCTGGCCAGTAGATTAGTATTGACACACATGACATGATTATCTGCTGCATTGCACTGTTTTAGAAATGATAAATGATAAATTGCTTTTGAACTTATATTACACATGTAAGTGAGCTTGGGGTGGAAGATCCTTGAGGACTCACTGACTTACTGAGATTTCTAGATTAGAGATCTTACCCCACGTTTGGGGAATGCTTATTTCAGGATCAGGTAGTATGGGTACTGATGCCTCAGGCGGCAGGAGGCCGGAGCTTAGCTGATTAGGTTTTACTGCTTTATGTAAGCATGACTGGATTTGGGATGCTGTTTATGTTTTCCGCTATTTATGATATGTTGTTGTTGAGACTGATGTTGGGCATGTTGCCTTATTTGAGTGAGCATGGGGATTGTCCATGACACTTGCTGTTAGTACTTTTAGATTGGAGTTGTATAAACTGTTAGATGGTCCGGTCTGCATTGTTGTAGTTCCGTGACTAGAGCCACACTTATATTATCTATGTTATGAGGTATTTCAGTTAGCTGTTTTATTGCAATTACATACAGGCGATGTTTTATTAATTGATTATTAAGCAAGTTGGTAATGTTAATGGCATCATAATTGAAAAGAAAAAGTAATTCCGCATTTTAATTAAGCGCAGCTTAATACGATATTATGATAACATTACCGGATATATATACGGGGTGTTACAAAAAGAAAAAGAAAGAGGCCAGCGAAAAGAAAGTGAAAGAGAGAGAGAGAAAAATTAACAGAAAAAGAAAGAAGGAAAGCGACGAGGCAGTAACGAAACAGAAGGTAATATTGAGAGATTTTGAAAACATTCTCTCGTGTTTACAATCATTTTGCGAAAACGATGTTTAACTTTAATACCTCTGTCATCTTACCGAACTCTCTTCTTTATATATTCTTTTGTTTAAGTTTATTCTTTGATTTTTATTCTTTTGCAGTATATTATTTTTCTTTTAAATTTTATTTATTTACAACAACTGATTATCATATTGACAAATTGTTTGGTACCAAATAATTATGAAGAGAATGTGTAAATCTAACTGATGAAGACTGCTATGAACTGAACCACAGAGTTTGGGTTCAGACTTTGTGGGTAAGGGATGCCTTATCGTGGTTTGAGCTCCTCCACAATAAATCTTTCATATGTAGAAGGCCACAAAGTTGGAAAATTATTTAGCTTAAGTTAAATATTACACAATGTGTTATTTATTATATTATTTCATTTTATTCAATTATATGAGAGAATGGTATTTTCCGTTATTACGGCTGGAAATGGTTATAGTTAGAAAACCTCAATATTACTAAGAATTTTTTCACGTGTGTTTGTTTTGTGCTAACATTTCCATAAAATCATAATGCCTAGTCTAAGCTTATCAGGTGAAGGATGGAGTATCAATATTTACTCTTATGAGGACCGCATGGAGTTTTATATCGTAGTAGGGAATCAAGGAGCTGCTTCCATATTCTATGATGATAGCATGGAGACCTACACCTATAGGCTAGATTAAGATAAGACTTTTGTATTGTATAATTATGTGATGTAAATATAAACTGAAGTTATGTAATATTTAGTAGACTGTAGGACCTATGTAAAATAGATTTCGTATGTAACTATCTGACTTAACTTTGCCTATAAAGTAATGTTGGTAGATGTTTATATAATTTTCTTTACTGTTATTATCATCGATGTGTATTAATTAATAACATTAATTTCTTTCCATCTTATTTCTCACTGACTATGTGGAAATGTAAATAAAAGAAATCATGTAATATTCCTTATAAACGTTTGTAGCAAGGGATGTTACATCATACACTTTTATACATAAAGAATATGATTTTATCTCCTAAAATGAGATATATTAATCCTATGATGCGCTAATACTTCAAAAAAACTTGACGTGTCATGTCCGATACTCCTCGAAACTCTAACACACGTTATAGAGACTCAAAAAATGGTTTAAAGGTTACTTGTTTTTTTAGTTCTAACTATTAAATTCATTGGATTAAGATTACCATTTTATTGAGTTTAATATAAATATTTGTAATACCATTTATTAGATTCATTTGCAAAATTGATAGGTATTAAAGTTTAGTTTCGTTTTTTTAATTATTGAATATTAAATATAATATACATTAAATAAAGGGAAATCATTATCTCATTTTACATGAGACAAGTATCTCAGGTTGTTCTCACTTATGAAGCACCGACACTTCAAAAACCCTGACGTGTCGTGTCCGACACTCCCTGACACTCCAACAGGCGTTATAGAAATTTTAAAAAAAGTTCAAAGGTTGCGTTATGTTGAGTTTTTAATTCAAACTATTAGATTCGTAGGATTATGATTATCTTTTTATTGAATTTAATATAAATATTTAGGATATATTATGTTTTTTTGCAAAATTTATGAATATTATAAGTTTAGTTTCATTTTTTTTTGTTAAATATTGAATATTAAATATAATATACGTTACATAAATTAAAAATATTTTTAATATCAAAACGTGTCTTAACGTGTCGAAATCTAACATATTTTAGAATTAACGTGTCGGGATGTCGTGTTGTATCGTGTCATGTGTCGGTAACGGTGCTATATAGGTTCTCACATTAAAAATTGTGCCACCATTTTTCTTTTTTTTCTTTTTTTTAATAGGTGATGAGCCCCACAAGTCCACCACATCATGTGTCTGTGGTAGGAGATTACTATCTTCAACAACATGAGAAAATAAAATCCCTTAAATAAATTAAAAATATTATTTAATATTAAAATATGTTTTAATAACTCAAAATCTAACAATTTTTTAAAATTCTGATGTGACGTGTTGATGCGGGTGACACGTGAAGAACCCTAACAAAATCGATATGCTCAAGCAGTCAAGCTGTTTCCTGTGAAGAACCCTAACAAACTCAGAAGCTGCCAACACATTTTGAATGCAACAACAATGTCAGTGTCAAGAAGGTTAAGGTTTCTCTCAAACCTCAATGTCATTCTTTGCTTCTCTTCGACTTCAAGGTTATACTCTCGTTCTCATTCTCAGTCTCACTCTCCATTCATTAACAAAGCTAATGATACTGTTGCGTCATTCAATCGCATGCTCCGTATGCGTCCCACCCCACCCATAATCGAATTTAGCAAGATTTTAGGATCCCTTGTGAAGATGAAGCATTACAACACTGCTATTTCCCTTTCTAAACAGATGGAGTTCAGTGGAATTGCTCCAACCATTGTTACTTTGAGCATGTTGATAAATTGTTTCTGTCACATGGGTCAATTGAATTTTGCTTTTTCTGTATTAGGCAAGATTTTCAAGAGGGGTTATCATCCAAATACCATAACCTTTACAACACTTATGAAAGGTCTATGCCTTAACCGTCAGGTTAAGAAAGCACTGCACTTTCATGACCTCGTGGTTGCACGAGGATATCAGTTGGACCAAGTCTGTTATGGGACCTTGATCAATGGGTTATGTAAAATTGGAGAGACAAGAGCAGCCATGCAGTTGCTGAGAAAGATTGATGGGAAAGCGGTTAAGCCTAATGTGGTAATGTATAGCACAATCATTGATAGCCTATGCAAAGATAAACTTGTAGCTGATGCATGTGATTTATATTCTGAAATGGTTGTCAAGGGAATTCATCCTAATGTTGTCACTTTCAGTTCTCTGATCTATGGCTTTTGCATTTTGAGTCAATTGAAAGATGCAATTGGTTTGTTAAATGAAATGCCATTGAAAAACATCTACCCTGATAATTATACCTTTAATATGTTGGTTGATGCATTATGTAAGGAAGGAAAGGTTAAAGAAGCAAAAACTATGTTAGCTGTGATGATAAAAGAAGGTATAGAACCTGATGTTGTCACTTATAGTTCATTAATGGATGGGTATTGCTTAGTTAATGAAGTGAACAATGCGAGATATGTGTTCCACACTATGGCCCAAAGAGGAATAACTCCTAATGTTTGGAGCTATAATATCATGATTAACGGATTATGTAAGAACAAAATGGTACATGAAGCCATGAATCTCTTTAGAGAAATGCAGTGCAAAAATATGACTCCTGATACGGTCACCTACAGCTCTCTTATTGATGGTTTGTGCAAATCAGGGAGGATCTCTTATGTTTGGGGTCTTATTGATGAGATGCATGATAAAGGTCAACCAGCTAATGTAATCACTTACAATTCCTTATTAGACTCTTTATGCAAAAACCATCATCTGGACAAGGCAATTGCATTATTCAAGAAAATGAAAGACGAGGGAATTCTGCCAAGTGTGTGCACATACAGTATACTTATAGATGGACTATGCAAAGGTGGAAGACTTAAGAATGCACGTGAGGTTTTTCAGGATCTTCTGATCAAAGGCTATCATATAAATGTCTGGACGTATAATATTATGATCAATGGGCTGTGTAAAGAGGGCTTGTTTGATGAAGCATTGGCCTTGCTGTCAAAAATGGAAGACAATGGTTGCATTCCTAATGCTATAACTTTTGAAGTAATTATTTGTGCTCTCTTTGAAAAAGATGAGAATCATAGGGCAGAGAAAATTCTTCGTGAAATGATTGCCAGAGGTCTGCTGTAAGAGAAAGATTAGGTGAGATGCTTTCTGGTCACACATTAAGTTATTTCAGTTTTGGTGATGACCAGCCAATCTATATTTGCTTTGATAGTTACACATCAAAAAGAAGATGAACTATGCAATGGGCTCTCTATCCCTTTAATTTTGATTTAAAACATATATTGTAAGGTCCTTCTTGATATTGTAATGATACAGATGGTCAACTTTTTTGGTACTTTAATGGAAAACTTTAAACTGATCTACTACCAAAAAAGAGTAATTGTTGTGATTTGAATCTTCTATGAAAAATAAAATTATTATTTGAATCGTCTTCACTTTTCTAAAACTAATCATGCATTTGTGTCAGCATCAGCTTGTCTAAATAGTAAGTACTATGTTCTTTCCCTTTGTTTTTCTGAAGCTGTTTCTTTTATCTGCCTTCCTGACTTCAAATATTACTTCATTCCCCTGCAAAAGTCTGAGTGATGAGATACACTTTGGATTTTTTTCTTCTGTAAACTAAAACTGGCCTCTGGGCATCATTGGTTACCGTAATGATTGGTTACCGTAACGATGGTTGAAACTTATTATAAAATTTATGGTGCATTTTGGATATTGTCAATTTGTCATGTGGGCAGAAATAAATATTGTTTTCGGAATATTTAGAGAGTTGACTGATGATATTTTGTTAAATTTTATGTAAAGCCTCTTTTGTATTCGCTTGATGGCTGGCTTCTTTTCATCTTTCCTCTAACCTTTGTTTTCTTGAGCTAAGGGCTAGCATTTGTTTTTCTATGCTTATAGTATGTCATTATTGTTACTGAGCTGACATGAGGTAGCAGCAGCACACTATGAGTATCAGAAATGATTCTTATGGAATTTGGTGGTTAAGACTTGTTCTGTGCATGTTATACTTGTTTCTTTAACTCTTTCAAGGTGCAATATATTTTAGTTTTTGTTTTCACCTGATATGGCCACTAATCAGGCCACTTCAGCGGGTGCTTTAAGAAGCCAACAGAACCTAAACATTAATCAAGTTTCTGCAGTTTAGAAGATAGCATTTTTTGTGGACTCAGTTGTGCTTAAAGGAAATTCAGAAGCATAAAATATGGAAGGCCTGTTGAATAATTTAGACTTACCTTTATTTTCTTGAGTTAAGTGCTAGCATTTGTTTTTGTATGCGTACCGGATTTCATGACTGTTGCTGTGACTCAGCTGTCGTGAGGTATTAATTAGTAGCACTGTCAGTATCAGAAATGATCCTTGTGCCATTTGGTGTTAAGGCTTGTTCTGGATATGTTATACTTGTTTCTATAACTCTTTCTTGGTGCAATATATTCTAGTTTTTTTTTTTGTTATTGTGTATTTGAGATGTTGACCTGGTTTATATTGTACAGGTGCATGAGAACAAAACATTTTCAGAGAGAAAAGTTCATCTGCACCAGAAGATCCAGAGACTGCCAAGAAACTAAAATTGCTGAATGATAAGATCTCAAGCAATTGCTCTGCTATGCTAATTGTTTTGAAAAGGATGAAAGACTGGATAAGCATAATATATCACAATTTAGTTTTTTTTTCTTAACACGTAAGAAGACAGATAATTCAGTTTGACCAAATTTGATTTGTTCAATGAAGCCACGTGTTCACATTTTCCTCATGCTGCAAGTATGAACAAAGATTCATTTCAGATGTATTACATTTCCGTTCTTGTGTTAGCATTGATCATTAAATTTATGTAATTTTTTTCATTTTTTTGAACTTGTGATATAAGCTTGATCATTAATTGTATCTTAAGCTTTTTCTTTTGTTGAACTTATTCTTCAGGTTCTCTGGAGTACATCACCATTGTGGCTTCTTGTTCCGCACGTGTGAAGCAGAATAGGGTTCTTCTCACCAATGGCTAAGGGAAGAAGCATTGAACTTATTCTTCAACCTATTGTAAGCTTGGTCATTAGGAGATTTAGTCAACTTAATTTATGCAGTTAGGGAGGTCTTTACTATAGCCAAAGTTCATTTGCTATAGGATTCTGTTCACCTATGGGGCTTGCTTGCTTACTTTTTTTTGGTAAATCATAATTTAGTATCAAACTTCTAATTTAATGACATCAATAGCCCATAGTTTCCCATCCAAAGGCTTGCAGTCTTTTAATAAAAAAAATTAATAAAATTTGGGTTTAATTATTTAAAGATGTAGCACAAGAAATTGTTTTGGATATATATATATATATATATATATATATATATATATATATATATATATATATATGAGGCAAGATCATTTCATACCGGTGTCAAATTTGAAGTTTGACACCTCATCTGAGAGTCGTTAGATCCAAAAAGATCAACGGCTCTGATTTGTAAGCATGTGACATCATTGATCTTTTTTGATCTAACGGCTCACAGATGAGGTGTCAAATAGGTGTCAAAAGATCCTACCTCTCTCTCTATATATATATACACACACAAAACTGGTCAAACATTTACATACAAATAAACATAAACTTTCATCTATAGGGTCAATGTACTTGTAAGCTCTCCATAATGCTCTCAATAGAATATTATTTTCTGATTATGTTTTCCCTTTCTCTTCCCGTTCCTGGACCTCTTAGGGGAGGTTCACTAAGCATTATTCTAGTAATGAACCCTTTACTAAATCTTAACAGGGTCTAATTGGGGGGAAAAAGAAGACATAAGCTTGCTGCTTTAAAAAAAAAAAAAGAAAATAATAAGAAACTAATGCATGCTCACAAAAGAAAGGAAAAGGTTGTAAAAATACTTCTCATTATCCTAACTTCAATACAGGCATTTTCTTTCACAAAACCAAAAGAAGTAAATAAAATGAATTATCGTTGTATTGGCACCATAGTATTGTTGATTGCTTTCAAGTAAAAAATCAAGTAAAGACTAATGTTAACATCTAGTCATCTACAATCAAGTTTCTCAAGTTATACAAGAATTATTATCTTTACACTATCAAGTCGTCACGTTTTATAAAATTATCTTTTAGAGTATCAAGTCAAGTCACGTTTTCATCCATGCTAGTTGCTTGTCTATACATTTTGTTCACTTTTTTAGCAGATGGATTTTACAAATATGACTTTGTCTTATGGTATTAAATTCAGCTTTGGTTCCTTTCATTTTTACTATCAATTTGTATTATTTTTGAACTAATAAAGTTAAATCTCTTTATTAGTTTTAAAATAGGGATGACGTGTGGAAAATTAAAATTTAGTAAAATCAAAGAAAAAAATTATAATTGAGCTTATATAAAATTATCAAATTTTAAGCAAAATAAAATTTATGGCCCACATGGGTTCATTAAACGTAGTAGATAAAATTTATTTTCTGAAAATAAATAAATAAAAATTTAATATTTCTCATGTTATAAGAAATAAAATTATCTCTTATATATATATAAAAATAAGTGGCATGGGAGTAAAAAAAAAAAACATCTTCACACACTTTTAAACCCAACAAACATCTTTACCAAAAAAAAAAAAAAAAAAAAACCCAACAAACAAAATGTGAGACAAAATAAAGAACAAAGGGAATATGTCCTTTGAGAATAAAAAAAGAAGCACAGTTCCACTTCCACTGCCATAGCATTCTTCTTCTTCTTCTTGTTTTTTCTGTAAAGCAAAGAGAACATTACAATTTACAACAACATTGGACAACTAAGCACAACGTATAGATTACTGAGCTGCTGTTTGAGGATTCACCGAATCCCAATGGTTTCTTCTATTTCTTTGCTATTCTTCACCCATTGCCATTCTTCTCCTCCTCCTTCCACCACCCGCCCCCTCCAAATGGGTCCCACCTCTCTCCGGTTCTTAGCCCTTCACTCCTCTCTAGCACCTTCATCATCATCCCATCAAGTCCCCATTGGTATAAAGCTCTCACCTTTTCTTCTGTTTTTGTCTATTCCCAGCTCCTATGCTGTTTTTTTGGCTTCTGGGGTTATCTGGGTGTTTTTTTTTTTTTTTTTTTCATTTACTAGGAACCGTAGTTATGCATTGAAAAAAGTGTCTTTTTTAATTTTAATTTTTATTTTTGTGGGTCTTGGGAAAAATATGCAATGCTTCTATTTTTTTTATCTTGTCCCTATTTTGTGAATTCTTTCTCAGTGGAGTTGAAATGCTGTTTGTTTGAGGTTGATGTTTGGGATTGAAGCCTCATTCCCATTCTTATTCTTATTCTTCTTCTTCTTCTTCTTATTAATATTATTATTTATATTTTTCAGGGGAGGGCTTCTGTTACAATTTTACCATTAACTGTAAAACCAATGCTGAGTCATTTTTCTACCACCTCTTTTGCTTTAAGATTGATGAGCCCATACATGCATTCTGCTCACTTCTAATCACGTTGATAAAATTTTTAGTTTGTGCATGTTGGTGTTTCTTTTTTGATTGATTTGTTTTTGTTGTTGCTATGGTTGTGATGCGAGTATGTTGGAAGTGCATGGTTGAAGGCCCGAAAGGCCTTGAACTGTTTAGTTCCAATTTTTGAAATTAGTAGGGAAGCACTTTAGTTTACATCAATGTTACTAAAACCGGATTGGTTGAACCGGAACAGACCGCCAACCGGTTTGGTTCAGTCAATTGACTAGTCATGCATGCAAGGTCAAGAACCGGTGAATCGGTCATATACTAGATTCAATGAAATGCTAACCACTAAGCCAGGTCATTTTGATTGTCATATTACTTCTATTTATATATTTATGGCAAAAGTATTTCTGCCTTTGCGGCAGAAAAATTTGTACAATTTTATCAGGATCCGACATCGAATCCTGGTCTTTTTAAAAAAAAAAAAATAACGAGATCCATAGGCGGGTCCTCGTGAATACGTGTCTGTGGCAGATAAATCTTTCTGCCACAACTACAGAAAAATGGAACCCTATATTTAGTATATATCTTTACATAAATTCAATTTAAGCAGCTCAACTAGTGATCCATTAAGGCAATACCTCGACTGAGTCGATGACCGGTCTGAGTTTAATAATATTGGTTTAGATGACTACCTCGTCTTCTAGTTATTACTTACTATTGTATTGCTTTGTATATTATTTAGATGAATAAACTATGTGGCTCCGGGGTGTCCGGTGTCTTTGGGACACTGCAACTATGTGAGTTTGGCTGAGGTTGGTGTTTATTTAAGATGTCTTTTGCCTAAATTGCCTGCTTATGAGATTTAAGATGATGATTTACCCATTTTTTAATTTGAAACCTTCTTAGTAGGTTGGATCAAGATATTAGACTTAGTAGAGGAAGGTATTTATTTCTTGAAAGGTTCATTTATTCTTTTAATCATTAGGCTATTGTTGTCATTGCTTGTGAGTTCAATAATGTAGATTCTTGAGTTACCTTACACATTTTTTTTTCAGTGCCCATGTATGTATGTGTATTCCCATTCATTGCACATGCCAATGTGTCTTTCCTCTGCATGCAATTGACTGAGAAAGGATTTGCTAACCTATGTACATATGTTTCCATGTGACTTTATGTACAGCAGCTATGGCTACTGGGGCATCTTCTAAGGTGATTGATGGAAAATCAGTGGCAAAGCAAATCAGGGATGAGATAACAGCTGAAGTCTCCAGGATGAGAGAAGCCATTGGTGTGACTCCTGGGTTAGCTGTAATCCTTGTTGGAGATAGGAAGGACTCTGCAACCTATGTGCGTAACAAGAAGAAGGCTTGTGAATCTGTTGGAATCAAATCTTTGGAAGAACATTTGCCTGAGGATTCCACCGAAGAAGAAGTCCTGAACTATATTTCAGGCTACAATGATGATCCTTCAGTTCATGGCATTCTTGTTCAGTTACCTTTACCTTCTGTATACTTCTAGATCTCTAACTTCATTTTCCTAAGGGCAAAGTATGCTAAATTATGTAATTAAGCAATTTTTATATTTAGGTCTGAACTATTGCTAAGTTCTTGGGGAACTGCGTCAAGCTTTTCAGCATGATATATTAATAACTTATTCTCATAGCTAAGCTTTTTATTGCCTAAACTATAACTTCAACTCACAGATTTTCTTATGGAAGTTTTACCTTGGCCTTGTGACAGCATATGAATGAGCAAAACGTCTTGAATGATGTTAGAATTGAGAAGGATGTAGATGGTTTTCATCCATTAAATATTGGTCGTCTTGCCATGCGAGGCAGAGAACCCTTGTTTGTTCCCTGTACACCAAAGGGATGCATAGAGCTACTGCACAGATATGGTGTTTCTATGAAAGGAAAGAGGGCTGTTGTGATTGGTCGGAGCAACATTGTAGGAATGCCAGCTGCTCTCTTGCTGCAAGTAATAATATAGCTTTGCACCAAACTTCAAATTTTGGTTAACAGTTCCAAACTAGTTTAGTTTGATTGTTACTGTTTGATCCTTTATTTTTGCTTCAAACATACAAGTTTCTAGTTTATATATATCTTATGTTACCAGAGGGAAGATGCTACTGTCAGTGTTGTCCATTCAAGAACCAGTAACCCTGAAGAGATCACAAGACAGGCAGATATTATCATCTCTGCTGTGGGGCAACCAAACATGGTTAAAGGAAGCTGGATAAAACCTGGTGCAGTCATTATAGATGTTGGAATCAACCCGGTAGAGGTGAGTAGATTTATTTTAAGGTCTTGTTTATGGTATGCTACTGGGTTTCTATCTTGGTTGGTACTGGTTTTATGGAACAAATTTCATATTGAACGCTTAAATTTCAATATCAATGTTATTTAACCAATGCATGTATGGGGTGATTGTAACAGGATCCAAATAGCCCTCGAGGTTATAGATTGATTGGAGATGTTTGCTATGAAGAAGCCATAAAAGTTGCCTCTGCTGTCACACCAGTTCCTGGAGGAGTTGGTCCAATGACCATTGCAATGCTTCTTCAAAATACGCTCAGCTCTGCAAAAAGGATGCACAATTTTGACTAACCTGGTCAAAGGATGTATACCATGTCAGGCCATCAATTTTTGTTTAGGGGAGTCTTGGATATTTCCCTACCTTTATGGTAGTATAATGTTGTTTCGTTCACCTTAAACTAGGTCTTGGATTAGAGTATTATAAATGGAAAAAAACATGCAATGAGAGAACTTTATTTCATTGAATTCACTAACTCCAATTGGAATCGGATTAGTTAGGACTTAAATGGTTTCCTGTCACTGGACATCTCACACCAACAAAACATGACATTCATGAAACTTAGAACTATATACAGATACTGTGGTCTATTTTGGAAACATTCATAAGCACACAGAGTCAGGAACAAAAGGTTATTGCGTGTGAAGCAGGGCAGAATTGGATGGACATGAACCCAGATGCTTCTTAAATGACTATTCCTCATTGTCCTTTTGGCTTACGTTTGAATCTGATTTTGCTTTTTGCTTTTTGCTTTTAGCTTCTCTTGATTATTTTATCCTTTTCAATCAACCTTTGGAAAGAAATGAATTTTCAATGTGATACCTACTTATTATGCCTTTCCATGAGAATTTTTGTTGGTGGCAGGATCATTGAGTAGACCATGTTCTCACAAATCATTGACTTGAGATCAAATTTAACTGAATGATAAGCTTATTATTAAATCCAAAATATGAAGTGCCAATAAAAAGCAAACATAGATTATATTTTCAGCCTGTGGTCCTCTGTAAACATATATTAGAGTAGACTTCCTCGGTAGTTGTTCTCAATGTTTGACATGTTGCTGCAAAAATCTTAACTTTCTAGGAACAGAGATTTACACTGCTTCATAGTATCTTCAGGGCTTGTAACTGAAAAACAATCAAAATACAAATCGTGAGGATTACACGAACAATATTTTTTATCAAACATTGGCTTGGTTCTTAATTTAATTTACAAAAAATAAATAAATATCGAATTGTTTCCCCATGCAACTGAAACCAAAATTCAGTCATTTCCACATATAATAATGTATGTTAAAGCAACTAACCTGTGTGCCCAACAGTACGTTCAGATTCATATATTTCATGGTCATTTCCACCCTGCTCAACGAAAATAAAATGAATAATAGTGAAGACTAAATAGAATACAAAATTGTGGTAGCATACGTATGCAAAGAGACAAAAAATGTAAAATGCTGATTTGATACTCCAAACATGTACTGCATAATAGACTCATGGACTAACCTTGTAAGTTTTGTCACCAAAGAAGTGGACTTCATTGAAATCTTCAAGGTATCTGAGGCAGTATGTTTTATCCCAACCTTGAGGGAAAACCTGTAGAGTATATTCAAGTTAAGACTTGTTGCCCTATCAAATGACCAATAATAGGTCCCCATATCATCATAAAGATCATAACTTACATCAAAGCTTATCTGTCCTCCAATGGAAAATGTTAAGTTAAGATGAGCAAACTTCTCACGAAGCACAGACACCATTTTTGCTCGTATGTTGTGAACCTGAGAACTTAAATTGCAAACTTTTAGGATAAAACTATACCCCTAGCATTTCAATATGGAAAAGTGAAAATTCAAGTGAATATGATAAAAACTAAAATACATCACCTTGTCATACTTCTCAAATTCATCTCTTTCTTCTTGGCTACAGTTTCGCCCAATTGGTGACACATTCAGCATCCCACTACGGAACTCTATAAATGTTCCCCTGAAAATATTCTTATATCAATTATGATTCAACAGTTTCCTATGCCAAAAATGAAAATTATATCATTAACCTCTGAATCTCACTAACCTCTTAATAGGGATATCCAAGTCAGCTATATAATGAAGTGCAAAATTAATAAATTCCTGCAAAACACCCCCCATTCTGTCATTATTAACAGGAAGTTTATTAATATAAAATGTGTTCTTTATAAGCTCACAACTTTATTGAATTTTACACTTAGTAGAAAAAAGTATAATCTTCTTTATTCAGATGTCTTCTAAGCTTACCATAATGAACTCACAGAGCAATTTGAACTTTCTAGTAAATTTTCAGGTTATGGTATGCCTAGAATGTCATAGGATAAGAGTATGTATTATGCAACAACCCAAAACATATGTTTATGTTAGGATGTAGTAAGTATGGCAGCTTAGGTATCAAATTAGTAAGATGGCTTGAACAGGATGATAATAATATAGGCCGCCTTACCTTGAGCTTTTCTTCCCCAAGGAATGACTTCAAGCTCTGAAAAAAGGGCAATTCACAACACGTCATGTTGTAATAGATAAAAAGTTTAAATTGCCAGCTAAACAAGAGGGAGTGTTTGTGTGCGGGGGAGGGGTTGCACTAGAGAAAAAGTTTAGAACTTTCTTATGTTGTTAATGGCTATAATTTCCTATATATATGTAACAAAAATATGGCATTGTAAAATTTCTCTAATGCTGCAGGCTTTGTTTACAAGTCACAACATAGTTGTGTAGTAGTTAATTGCGCCGCAAGCCGCGCCGTATGGGCGTTGCGGTGCCTCTCCGCAAGAAACCGCACCGGAACGCAATAGCGGCCATTGCGACCTCCTTTGCGGTCATATTGCTGTCACACGGCAAAATGACAATTTTGTCCTAAATTTAAATGTGTAACAGAAAAAATTCAAGGGTTTTTTAGTCTATCCGCGTCTCTCTGTCACTTCTGCTATCTCTACCTTTAAAAAATATTTCTTTTTGTCATTATTTCTGTCATATATATATTCTGCTATTTCCGCAACTGTAACCCGCTATAACACTATAGCGTTTTTCGGGGTTGGCGGAGACATGCCGCAATCCGCATTTGATAACTACGGTTGTGTTCTGTTAAATAACTCAAAGGATCAGAACAAATCTATTAAGATACATCCCAGGTCATGGCAATTTGCTTCTATCATGGTTTGAGGTTTATGTTGCATACCTGAATTCCAATGATATTTCCTTGCTTTTGAGCCACAAGACCATTCTCAGAAAATACATAGTCATAGTCACTGGTAACTGCAACAGGAAAAAAAGGAACATTGAAAAGATAAATCCTTCTACTTCTTTCTTTGTTTCCTTCTTCAACATTAATAGCTCATCTTAGATGTATGCTTTTTCAAAAATAGGAGAAAGGAAGAAAAGAGAAAAGAGTATGTAAAGGAAAATTGTACAACAATGATTATCAGCTTATACAAGCAAACATAATTCCAGACTTCAGCAATTCTGGAGATCAGAATACAACAAACAAGACTAAGAAAAGAAAATATATAACGGAATTAATTAAGCAATAAAAAGAACACCAAAATCAATTTTCTCAAAGTGGCTTCCTACATATTTTTAACATTACAGCATCAGAAACCAAAGAGCTACTTATAACTAACCTGTGTTGCCTAGTTGCTCAGATATCTTTACAAGGTCAGAACCCCCAACAACTCCAACTGTCACAGCCTGTACCCAGACAACAAGAGATTCAGAAACATAAACAACAAAAAAGAAGAAAGAACTGTTACAACAGGTTTAGCTTGGTGGAGAGATGGTGATAAAAGACACCAAGGAATGAAATGCATTATAATGTAAAAAAATAAAATAAAAAATAAAAATATTCTAAATCACTTACCTTACGTAGATCTTGCATGAATGCCAACATCTCAGGAGTAGCCACCTTGCATTTGAGTAGTAAACAATGAATACAGGTAATGCAAGACTAAACAATCAGAAACAATAAATCCAGATTTTCTACTTTTGTGGGGAGTCATAGCATTTCATGATGAATAAAATGATAAATAATCAAAGGTGACTTACAGACAATAGACTTGTCTTAGAAGTTAGAACCATATCAAATTCCTACATTGATGTTTTTTTGCAGCTATGATTGTAACAAAATAACAATGCACATGGTCATGGAGAATCATTAGTTCTAAAAGAAACAGATACCTTTCTGGGAGCTGTAAGAGTCCCATCAACATCAAATAAAGCAATTAAACCAGGTTTCCGGGCAGCCATTAATAGCTTATTGTTGTGCACCCAAACCTGCAAAAAATTGAACCTTTTCATCAAGTTTTAAGCAAATATATGTTCAAACTCAAATAAACTGTTTTTTTTTTTTCAATGACTAGTATTCCCAAAAGGTGCTATTGCTTCATCAAATAATCAAGAAAAAAAAAACAGTGAGTTCAACTTTATCCAAAAAAAAAAAGTTTAAACATCAAAAAGAGTTCAACTTTCTCAGCAGTATAACAAAATGTGGAACTTCAGCAACAAATAATAATGAACACTATCCAAAATTTCACCACACCCTTTTAGCAATTTTACAATCCAAGTTGTTTTGCAATGCTTCTTCATCAAAAATGGGAAAAAAAAATGAATAAGAAATTGGAGAAAGGTGAAATTTTTTGCAGAACTAGAATTGAAAGGTGGAAACTTGCCTGGGAGGAGAGTGTGGAGGTGGAAGAATGAGACAGAGCTTGAAACAGATCTTCAATGGAGTTGATATAAATTGGTTGAGATCTGCGAGGTGGGACCCAACAAGTTGAAGAAACATGTGCATCGTACCGTACAACGTTGGTGAAGAACAAATTCATAATCACCCATCATCAAGTTGCTGCTGTTTTACTTTCATGAATAGTGTGTTAAATGTTAATGCCGACTCATCTATAATATTAGGGTAAATTTTCAATTTTGAGAAAAAAAAAATTATGTGCAGTTTATTTTATTTTTTTCCCATCCATTTTGCATTTCTGCATTTTGTTTCTTAAATTGTAATTTTTATTTTAGAGGATTTATTTATTTCACAAAATGGTTCAAGTCTTACGAGAATGTTGTTTAATTTAATGGTTAAAGATGTGTGTTTTCTACCTTTTAAAAGGAATCATCATGTTTGAACAGAGCTCTCAATATAGGTTATGAACGTGAGTCGACCCGTGACACGAAAATTCGGGTTGACCCGTAAAAAATTCATGTCGTGTTCGTGTTGATGTATTCGTGTTCGTGTTCGGGTTGACCCCTATTTTGCGTGTTATTCGTGTCGTGTCAACCCACAAAAAATTCGTGTCGTGTTCGTGTTGATGTATTCGTGTCGTATCAAATTCGTGTCGTGTCAACTAGGGGTGTTCGCGGTCTGGATTGGATCGGTTTTGGAAACAAAAATCATCTGATCCAATCCCTTCGGTTTGATCATATAATCATCCATTCGGTTTTGATTTTTTTTTAAATCCGATCCGATCCAATTTTTTTCGGTTTGGATTAGATCGGTTTTCGATTTTTTGAAAATCAGAAAATTTATTTCATGATTATTGTGCAAATACATCTTTTGTATATATTGGCTTTGTAATTTTTTTTTTTGAAATACAAAAGCATTAGTAAATTATTTTTTTTTTGACAATGAGATATGAAGCTCTACAAAGATAAAATTTTGTTGATGAGATGTGATTAGATTTTTTCTTGAATTTAGTTGATGGGTTAATGAGTTTTGAGTTTAGAAATTTTTGAGCTATGATTGGGGAAGACCAAGTAGGTAGAGAGGAATTAATATATTGGATCGGTTTGGATTGGATCGGTTTTCATCAACCGATCTAATCCAATTAAAATTTGCGGGTTTTTCGATTTTCGGTTTATTCGGTTATCGATTTTTTCGGTTCGGTTACCGCGGTTTAAATCAGTTTGGATCGGTTGATGAACACCCCTAGTGTCAACCCGTTAGGTTTGAATGTTGAATTAGAACTTAGAGGAATTAATTAATTTGATATTGGGGTGTGGATATCGATAAATTATATTACCATTTTATTAAACTTGTTTAATTGATGTTACGAGCTTTGCCTTACTTTTTGGTTGCTCAGTTATATGTTCAAGTTAAAAATATATTTTTATAAGAAAAAGTAAAAAGATTTATATTTTAAAAAATGTAAAAATTTGAAATTTTATAATAACCATTGAGAAAGACAAGTAAAAAAAAAAAAAAACAAAATGTTACGTGCATAAGGCCAGAGGATATTCTGGAGGAATCAGGGGACTAATGAGCAGTTACAGTTGCACCTTTACAAGCACTTTTGGCTTTAAGTTTGAAGGAAACTTCTCAGCAACCTCACTTCATTGTCTTGGTTCACACTTCACACTATGCCACCCTTTTGGCCAATTTTAATTACAATTATGGGGATTCATAGCTCATGAATCCTTATGGAAACAAAAACTCAATATTTTTTGAACTAAAATTGTGGCACTTGATTCCAGTTAAAAGAAAATGGCTAGAAGGGTCACCATTTGGCATTAAGTGCTAGCTGGCTTTATAGGATGTTCACTTCCTTCATCAATACTCAATAGTTAGAGGCCAGTGTCATAAATAGCCAGGGCATACCAATTTTTCAAAGAAAGAAGAGTACTAGTATACCAGCTTTAGAAGTTAGTAATAAGCATATTCTAAAGCATTCTTTCATAAACTGACACAGCACCTCACCCACTTTTCCCTCTACAACACACACAATTCACTAGTTAGTAACTCCTCCACCCCAATCAAATTTCTAACTTTAGCAAACAGTTAACATTGTATAAAAAAAAAAAAAAATGATATCTCAATTTAATAATGACATTAACTATTATTGTTTAGGGAAATATTACTCACCTTTCACATAAGATATCATCTCTCATTTTATCTCACTTCGATTTTCGTACCTCACTTTCTTTTTTTTTACTTTTTTCTTGTAATGGTGGGACCTACCTATTTTCTCTCTACAACATAAGATAACTATCTTATGTTAAATGAGACTAATAAAACCCTATTGTTTATCACTATTAGAAACAGATTGAACGTTTTGTAATAGGGCTTTATTAATCTCATGTGACATAAGAGAAGCTCTCTTATGTCATAGAGATAGTTATGAGTGGGACCCACTCACTTAAAGAAAAAGAAAAAAAGAAAAAAAAGCAACACGGAAGTCGATGTATGTGTAGGAGAGAAAAATACTCTCCTACAGCATAGGATAATATTTTCCCTTTGTAATATCTGCAATTCACTATAGGATTTTCCCATCAATACACGGCAGTTTTTTTTGTTGTTGTTGTACAATGCTCAAACTTGCTTGATGTCCTAACATGAACATAGCTTATTATTTATTCTCTTGAATATGTGATGGGCTCATAGCCATGGAACCTTATAAGATAGTGTATGAAAGAAGAGGGAAAGCCCAAGCCCAAAGAGAAAGGGGAAGTCACCAGAGCAAGGCACTAAGGGGAATTGAGGAGAAGTTGGTTAATATCAATGCCACGTGGAAAGCTATGAATGGGCAAGAGGAAATGGAGAACGTGCAGCGTGAAGAGAGGTGTGAAGCGAATGAAAGCGAGGAGAGTTCGTTGGAGAGGGGCATGCAATTACATGAATGAAGAATGAAGAGTCCTATTGCTGAGGCTGGGTCATTGTCTCTGTAATTGGATGAAAGGGTTATCTTTCTTGTTATTTCTTATGGCATCTTATGTTAATTTTCTATTGTAATTCGGCTAAGTCCATTGTTAAATAGGACATTCTGTTTGTAAGAGGCACTGATGAAGTGTCTGATATTTCTGCAATATTAATATACGTATTTGAATTCAGTCCATCTTTTACCATTTCGTTCAATTTCCTGTTTAGAACTTTGTGGGTACCATCAATTTGGTATCAAAGCTTTCACGAATCCTTGGAAGCAATTAATGGTTAATACAAGAATGGAAAATAGAGTAGATGAGGTAGAAAGGAGAACGGCGAGAATCGAAGCAAGGATGGAAGGATTGGATGCTAATTTTTTGCACCTCCGTGATGCTGTAATGGCATTCATGGCGCGAGCTGAGAACTTCATGATCAGAGCAGAAAATAATGAGACGGAGAGACCGCCAAACGCTAACAGTGAAGGAAACAGTGGGAATCGGGTGGGAAATAACATGAACACGGTGAGGGACGAGGAAAGAATGCGAAGGGTGGAGGTACCGTACTTCGCCGGAGAAGATCCTTACGGCTGGATATTTAGAGCGGAACGTTACTTCCGGGTCAATCGAATTCCGGTCGAGGAGCAGGTCGAGACAGCTTCTATTTGTTTGGAGGGGAAGGCGTTGAGCTGGTTCCAATGGTGGGAACCACGGAACCCCTTGGTAGACTGGAATATGTTCCGGACGGCCATTTTAGAGAGGTTTCTCACCTCTAATGGGGGAAATCCATATGAAGCACTCATGAGTCTGAAACAGAGTAGTTCCGTGGCTGAGTATCGAGAAAATTTCGAAGTCTTATCCGCACCACTGCAACACGCAGATGAGGCCATGATGCAGGCGGCATTTGTAACTGGTTTACAGGAGACCATTAAGGCGGAGGTCAGAGTTCACGCTCCGAATGATTTGGCTCAGTTGATGAAGTTAGCGCAGAGGATTGAGGAGAAGGAGACGGTGTTGGGCCAAGCCAAGGTGGTGGTGGGCCGAAACGGATCGGGATTCAGCAATCAGTACACGCACATGGGAAGGCCTGCTTTGGCTAATCCACGAAATGGGCCTCAATCTAATAACACATTTGGCAAGTTTGGGCCCAATATTAATCAACAAAGAAATGGGGTCCCAATTGACCCAACGAGTTCATCGTCAAGTGGAAGTGGAGGTGGAGTGAACCCTAAGGGACCTGAGAACCAAACTTCGGGAGTGGCAAGGGATGGAGGGGTAGCTACCAGTTATGGTGGTTCGACAGTAGGCAACGGGGGACGCCGAGGATCCCGATTTCGAAGGCTATCACCTAAGGAATGGGAGGACCACCGGTTGAAGAATCTGCGTTTTCGATGTGACGCACCATATTCACCAGGTCATACATGTCAGAATCCTCATTTGCATGTGATGATCTTGGCCGAGGGTGGGGAAGAGCTCGAAGAGGAAGAGGTGGAACGAGAGATGCATACGGTGGCAACAGATGAAACGTTACAACTGGGCATACATAGCGTTGTAGGTTTGACTTCGAACAAATCCTTGAAGTTATGGGGAAAGGTGGGTAATCAAAAGGTAGTTGTGTTGGTGGACACTGGAGCCTCGCATAATTTCCTGGCAACGGGGATAGCTGAGAGGTTGGGTCTTCAGGTGGATACAAACCAACAGTCTACTGTAGCAGTTGGGGATGGTCATCAGGTAAAGAGCTCAGGGTATTGTAAGGGGCTGAAACTGGAGTTACCTAATTTGGTGATCATTCAAGATTTTTATGTGTTTGATTTGAAAGGGGTGGATTTGATTTTGGGTTATCAATGGTTGGAAGAATTGGGAGAGGTACATGCCAATTTCAAAGAGAGGAGGCTGAGAATTCCTTGGCAAGGGAGAGAGGTCATGATCTTAGGAGACCCGTCTCTTTCATGTAGTGGAGCTTCTTACAGGGGATTGGGTCGTTCTTGGAGGAAGGGGGCTGAAGCTTTTTACTTGGAATTGGCTTACTGCGTGAATCAGGAGGAGAACTTATCGTTGGAAATCAACAACGTGGCTGGGTTATTACAGGAATTTGAAGATGTATTTGCTCCATTAACTCAAGTACCACCTAAGAGAGGCTGTGATCATAGAATATTGTTACAAGAGGGTGCTCTCATTCCTAATATACGACCCTACAGGTACCCACACTACCAAAAAGGAGAAATGGAACAATATGTGAAGGATATGTTATCTACAGGCATGATTCGTCCCAGCAACAGCCCTTACTCCAGTCCTTTGATTATGATAAAGAAGAAGGATGGGAGCTGGAGATTTTGCACAGACTATCGAGCTTTAAACAAGGTAACAATACCTGATAAGTTTCCAATACCTGTGATTGATGAATTGTTAGACGAACTGGGAGGGGCAGGAATATTTTCGAAACTCGATCTCAAATCTGGTTATAATCAGATTCGAGTACGAGAGGAGGATGTGGAAAAGACTGCTTTCCGCACCCATGAGGGTCACTATGAGTACCTGGTGATGCCCTTTGGGCTTAGTAATGCACCTTCAACTTTTCAATCTTTAATGAATACTGTCTTTAAACCGTATTTAAGAAGGTTTGTGTTAGTCTTCTTTGATGACATCCTAGTGTACAACACCACTAGTGAACAACATGTGGAACAACTGAGGAAGGTACTGGAAATTTTGAGGGACCACCATTTGCATGCTAATTTCAAAAAATGCAGTTACGGGCAGAAGCAGCTGGAATATTTGGGTCACTTGATATCGGCAGAAGGTGTTACAGCTGATCCAAAGAAATTAGAGGCTGTAAGCAAGTGGCCTATACCGAAGAATCTAAAAGCTTTAAGAGGCTTCTTAGGCTTAACTGGTTATTATAGGAGATTTGTGAAGCAGTATGGATACATGGCTAGACCTTTAACACATTTACTCAAGAAGGATAATTTTGTATGGGGAGAAGAAGCACAAGCAGCATTTGACAACTTGAAATCTGCCATGGTTCAACTACCAACTCTTGCACTACCTGATTTTGAGGAGACCTTCATTGTAGAAACAGATGCATCAGGTATAGGGATGGGGGCAGTACTCATGCAAAAAGGTCGTCCATTGGCATTTTTGAGTCAAGCCTTTTCAGAGCATGCTCGAAATCTGTCTGTATATGAGCGTGAGTTGAAGGCAATAGTGTTTGCGGTGCATAAATGGCGTCACTACCTTTTGGGACGCCATTTCATAGTTCGTACAGATCAAAGGAGCCTTAAATACCTCACTGAACAGAGGGTCATGTGTGAGGGGCAACAAAAATGGGTGGCTAAGTTAATGGGTTTTGATTTTGAAATTCAATTCAAACCAGGATGTGAAAATAAGGCTGCGGACGCCTTATCCCGAGTTATGGAGTGCAGGGAATTAACCATGGTTACTAGTCCTAATTTGCAGTCCATTGCTGATGAAATGTTAGAGGACCCTGCCACACACCAGATTATGTTAGAAGTGCTGGTGGATAAGCAGTCCTATCCTGGGTATCATGTCAAGAGTGGGTGCTTGTGGTACAAAAACAGATTGGTGATTCCGAAAGCCTCCAAACGCATTCCGTTTATTTTAGAGGAGTTCCATTCGTCCTTGTGGGGTGGTCATTCAGGGGAGCTAAGAACATTCAAGAGAATTGCTTCTGTATTTTTTTGGAAGGGAATGCGGAAGGATATTAAAGCTTTTGTCCAAGCTTGTGGTACCTGTCAACAACAGAAATATGATAGTCTTTTACCAGCTGGACTCCTTCAACCATTGCCTATACCGGATCGAATATGGGAGGATATAGCTATGGACTTCATCGGAGGACTGCCTAAGTCAAAGGGAATGGATACTATCTTAGTGGTGGTTGATAGGCTCACCAAGTTTGCTCATTTTTTGACCTTGAAACATCCTTTCACTGCTCAAGATGTAGCTGCTGTTTTTGTCAAGGAAATAGTGCGATTACATGGGTTCCCACGCTCTATCATATCAGATAGGGACCGGGTGTTTGTTAGCAAGTTTTGGGAGGAATTGTTTCGTTTGTCAGGCACTAAATTGCGATTTAGTTCTGCCTACCATCCTCAAACGGATGGGCAGACGGAGGTGGTTAATAGGACACTGGAAACTTATTTGAGATGTTTTGTCAATGGACACCCAAGGGGGTGGATGAAGTGGATACCTTGGGCGGAATTCTGGTTTAATTCATCTTATAACAGAAGCACTCAGATGACCCCTTTTAAGGCTTTATATGGAAGAGATCCACCCAATATTCTCCATTTGGGCGAGGGCAGCACATCTGTGGAGGCTGTAGATCAATGGCTGCAGGCAAGAAATGCTATTGTGGAGGATTTAAAAGTGAACTTGTGTAATGCTCAAGCAAGAATGAAGGTTCAAGCCAATAAAAAACGACGTGAGGTGGAGTTTCATGAAGGGGACTGGGTTTTCTTGAAGATACAACCCTACAAATTACGTTCTCTTGCCAGAAGGATAAATCAGAAGCTAAGTCCCAAGTTTTATGGCCCTTTTGAGATCACCAAACGGGTAGGACCCGTTGCTTATCAATTGAATCTCCCATCTTACTCTCAAGTTCATCCAACATTCCATGTCTCACAGTTAAAACGGGCTATACAGCCCAATGTTCCGGTTTTGGAATTGCCTCACTGTTTGACTGAGGAATTGGAAATGAAGGTGTATCCTGCTGCAGTTTTACAGCAGCGGAGGTTGATGGATGGCCAAATTGAATTATTGATGCAATGGGAAGGTCTTCCGGAGAGTGAGAGTTCTTGGGAATTGATGACAGAAGTGAAGGCACAGTTTCCTTCTTTTCCCCTTGAGGACAAGGTATTTCTGAAAGGAGGGGGTATTGATGGGCTCATAGCCATGGAACCTTATAAGATAGTGTATGAAAGAAGAGGGAAAGCCCAAGCCCAAAGAGAAAGGGGAAGTCACCAGAGCAAGGCACTAAGGGGAATTGAGGAGAAGTTGGTTAATATCAATGCCACGTGGAAAGCTATGAATGGGCAAGAGGAAATGGAGAACGTGCAGCGTGAAGAGAGGTGTGAAGCGAATAAAAGCGAGGAGAGTTCGTTGGAGAGGGGCATGCAATTACATGAATGAAGAATGGAGAGTCCTATTGCTGAGGCTGGGTCATTGTCTCTGTAATTGGATGAAAGGGTTATCTTTCTTGTTATTTCTTATGGCATCTTATGTTAATTTTCTATTGTAATTCGGCTAAGTCCATTGTTAAATAGGACATTCTGTTTGTAAGAGGCACTGATGAAGTGTCTGATATTTCTGCAATATTAATATACGTATTTGAATTCAGTCCATCTTTTACCATTTCGTTCAATTTCCTGTTTAGAACTTTGTGGGTACCATCAATATGAAAGATGAAACAGACTTATAATCAAAATGGTGCCACTTCACTTCGAGAAAAGAAGAGGCCAGAAGAACCTCCATTAGGTAGCAAAGCCAATCTAACAACACTTTCAGCACCTTCATCTACACTAATATGGCCAGTATTGTAGTTGAGATCTGTTTTCACATAGCCAGGACAAACAGCATTAATGCAGAAAGATGGGTACTTCTTGGCAAGAATCCTTGTGTAGGCATTCAAACCAGCTTTTGAGACTATATATGCAGATGAAACAGGAGGCCAGCCTTTGGTTTCCAATAAACCCTCCTTGAAATCTTTTAGAAACTGATTCAAAACCTCCTCCAGCTTTTCTTCTGTTAGACTTTCAACATCACTTAGGACACCTTTAGCCCATTCATTTGGTAATTTCTGCATCAGCATGAACAACAATATCAAATGCATCACATTACAATGATTGAAGAAACAATACATGTTTTAGACAACGTAAAAAATACATAGCCTTCTTCATCACCTGAAAGCAATGCTAAAGAAAAAGTCTCTTTTTTCTTTTTCTTTCTGTAAACTGTTAATTACATACTATCATTCCCATACCTCCAACTTCCCCATGGCGGAGGAAACATTAACAATCCTTGGTGAGTCTGACAACTCTAGAAGGGGAATAAGTGCTTCACACATTCCTTTGGCACCATAGTAGTTTGTTCTAACGCCTGCTTCTGCAGATTCATAATTTTGAGTAATGATTTTTCTCCAATCAACGTAAGCACCTTTTTCCTGCAGTCAAAGAGAAAAAATTCAATCCTCTGTTTGCTTACTATGAATAAGTGCAAACATCTTCCAATATAGAAAAGAATAAAGATCAATGCTCTTTACAAAAAATCTGTTCTTGTAGCAAAGATTGAGTTCTATCCAGAGAACAAAATTCGAATATAATAAAATGCTCATCCAATTATAACTTAGGAGGTTTCAAGGATAATTACTCCACAAAGTCTATCAAACTAATGTGGATAATAGACTTTGTACCAGACTTCACATAGAAAAATGGATGACAGAAGATCATACTTGGTATATGTTGTAGGTAGGAAACTAATCTCAGATTCTGCACATCATAATAATCAAAAGCTCTACAATTTCAACTTTTAATACCTAATACTTGATTTTTTATGGACCAAGTTGGGTCTCAGTCACCCTAATGCTAAAATTTGTCTCCTTTTCTAACTCAGTAATATGTGGTGTTAGGCCTATGCAAACTAGGAGGCTGCAGAGAATACATTCCAGACAATTATTCCCAAACTTGATCAAGTTCTAAGCCTTCAATCAAAATTACTTGAAATCAATGCTCATAAAAATGAACACTGCCTTTACTTTTAGCTTTCAGCTGAGAAGATGAAGGAAATATTTTATATGGTTTAGAAAAATACCGCAGTGGCAGCTAAAGCTGCAAAAGCATCACGCTCAACATCTGCTCCATGAATTCCAGCATTATTCACCTAAACAAATTACAAACATTTTTCACCATTCATTTCAATTTTCAAATAGGTATTTTGGTAACCGGAAGAATAGTAAATTATCAAAGAGAACACACAGCAGAAAGAAGAACAGTAAAATCCAATGGCTTATAAGAGTTGGTACCAGATAAAACTAAATAAGTACAAGCTAACTGAAAGTGTAGATATGAAATAGGATGAAAAATAGTGAACTTCCAAAAATGAGGATTTGGATCCTCTCTTGTTCTTGAATAATAAGATATGGTCATATCTTTGTAAAGAACCAATAATTTAACCAAAAGCATTGGGTGATGGACAAGCCAAGTAAAGAACCAATTCAACCAAAATGTTAAGTTGTTGTACATTAATAGTCTTATATATCTTTAACATGTCCCCTCATATTAGAGCTCACTCAGCTTGAAGGGTGGACAATACACAAGCCCACCTACTTGTGCTAAGAAATTTCACAATACTTGATTAATTATTAATTAAATGGGAGGCGATGAGGATCGAACACATAATAATGAGGCTCTAACAGGAAAGCCCACTGGTTTTGAAGGGTGGACAAAGCACAAACCCACCTTAAGAAACTCCACAATAATTCATTAATTATTAATTAAATGAGGGCGGTGAGGATTGAACCTCGTGTGACTTAATACCATAAGCTTTTGGGTTGAATTGGTTCTTTACAGTCTTATTAGAGAGAGACACATTTTTTATCATGAAAGGACATACCATGGCTGGTTATAAGGTCCCCAACTAATAGACAAAAGCAATGTTAATAAAACCGGAACGGCCCGGCCGGGTCGACTCGAAAATCGATAAACCGATCATATAATCGGTTTGGGTGAAGCAACGGACCAGCCATGCATCAGAACCGGTGCGACCCAGCCAGTTTTCAAGAAACCTGTGACCCGGCCCGGTCCCAAAAAAAAAATCCATAATGGACATATTTGAGTATTTTTTGTTTATTGACTTACATAGGTTATGTGCCTACAACACTAATATTATCTCAATTATGCATTATGCAGAAAATTTTGATTTAATTTACAGTTAGAGATATCGTTTACTGAACCTGAAGCCCTGTATCATGGTCATTATATTTTTGTTTGATCCTTGATTGAATAATAATGTGTGATTTATTATTTTTTATATTAAAATATTTGAAATTTTTATCATTTATTTAGATATTTGAGTATGTTTATAATTTTTTAATATAAATTATAGAATTACATATAATTATCGGATCATGCGATTCAACTAGTGACCCACTGGTTAAATCGGTGACCCAGTACCTCAACCAGATCAATCAGCGGACGGTTTTAATAACATTGGACAAAAGCAAAACAAATAACCAGAATATGGGTGTCGTCAACTATATAAATCTGCAACTTTTTGGACTATAATCTATTTCTTCTTTACAAAATCAGCTTAATACATACAATAGTCCTTATGTAATGATAGTGTCCTCCTTCTACGCTTTCTGATAATAAATAACCTAGAGATGTTAATAGATTTGTGTGCCTGGTGCTATGCTGGTACAACAAGAAAATTGATTTAGAAATATAACAGAATAAGAAGCTAAATGCTTAATAATACCAAGATATCAAGTTTTCCAAACTGGGTTTTGATGAAATTTGCAAGGGATGCAATGCTATTAGGGTCAGTCACATCAAGCTGATGAAAAACCACATGGTCAGAGAGACCAAACTCCTTCAGTTTTTCAACAGCTTCAAGACCCCTTTTCTCATCTCTTGCTGTTAGCACCACTGTGATCCCATTAGAAGCCAATTGCTTACAAATCCCAAATCCTATCACTTTGTTTGCTCCTGCGACATGTAACGCCCGGCCACTTGCAAACATGTTAAATATCGTAGATACAAGAGGAAATGATAGTAAACCTTGTTGTATTAAACTACACAACATTTGTGCTATTATATAGCAAACCAATTGAAGAATACAAAGAGACACACTCAATGTGGGACTTCTACACTATTAACACTAACACTCTTAACACTCCCCCTCAAGCTGTAGCATATAGATCATATGCTACAAGCTTGATACATAAATAATACTCCCATTAGGAACCAAAAACAACAATGCTACATCAACGAAATGAAATGACTAAGTACAACAAATCAACTGGAATGACCATCAGTCTGAAGAGCTGATAAAGAGACAGTGTTGGAATGGACATCAGAGCATGGATGGTGCCGGAATTATCATCGGCAAAGACAACTGAGCTGACCAGGACATTAGCATCAAGATCCCTCTCATACATTTCATTTAACAATTGGTGAGCAGCCATGGTTTCCCCTTGACTATGCTACAAGCTTATTACAAGAAAGACCAAGTAACATAACATCAGAATAAATCTCCTAAATGAGAAACCAAAAATCAACAATGTGCTAAAAATGGCGTCGAAATGAACATCAACATGGAAGATGCCGGAATGATCATCGGCAAAGACAATTGTGCTGGAATGACCATCAGCAACATGGACGGTACTCCCCCTCAAGAGGAACTTCTAAACAGTGCCGAAATTATCATCGGCAAAGACAATTGTGCTGGAATGACCATCAGCAACATGGACAGTGCTCCCCCTTAAGAGGAACTTCTAAACAGTGCCGGAATTATCATCGGCAAAGACAATTGTGCTGGAATGACCATCAGCAACATGGACAGTGCTCCCCCTCAAGAGGAACTTCGGTGTCAGAATTAACATCAGCGGAGACAACATCAGCAACTTGGACAGTGCTCCCCCTCAAGATGGATGATGAATAGTATAAATACTCCATCTTGGGAAGAAAGAAGATTAAAGAACAACAAAGCTTCGCAGAATCGGAAAAGTCGCCGGAGACGGCGGTGGGTCGTCGGAAGAGTCATCGGAGACGCTGGTGGATCGCCGAAAAGTCATCAGAAAAGTCACCGGAAAAGTCGCCGGAGACGGCTGTCAACGGTGGACGACGCGGTCAACGGTGGTCGGTCAACGACAACGGTGGTCAACCCAACAACTTCCCAAGGATCATTCTTTTCTGATGTGACAGATCAGTCTAAGCTGCAGTCACAGAGCATACTAAGAAAAACCCGAAAAAGAAATAGCAACGGGAATCTCTCAAGGAGGGTGATATCTCTTTATAACCATATTGAAATTATGAAAAATAGAACTAAGTTAAACGGATTAAGATTCCTCTTGTTAGGCTCTGGATCCCATATTGAATATCATAGATACAAGAGGAAATGATAGTAATCCTTGTTGTATTAAACTACACAACATTGGTGCTATTATATAGCAAACCAATTGAAGAATACAAAGAGACACACTCAATGTGGGACTTCTACACTATTAACACTAACACTCTTAACATAACACGAGACTTTTCAGCGTGCTTTGTCCTCACTCGCACACTTCCCGGGAAAACATCCCAGGAGGTCACTCATCTCTGAATTGCTCCAAGTCAAGCACGCTTAACTGTGGAATTCTTGTGATCCGGGCTACCGAAAAATAGATGCATCTTGTTAGTATAGGTAGTACCAATTAATTCTTAGAAGCCATTCCCAACTGTGTTGTCCCATACCAGCACAGTCTCTGGAATCCCTCTCTTTCGGGTGTTGATTCGATTCATTCATGTACTCCCGTCGCTGGAAGCCTGCTAGGAGCCGCTCCTTGTTCGTACCCTAGCGCACCGGCGATCGCTCCCCGCCCTCGTCAGCGCCCGGGATGTTACATGCCCACCAGCTTCCACCTGGTTCGTCCTCGAACCACACCGTACTGGATGAGAGGCCCTGCTGACACCCCGTTTTAGAACCGGTTTGTTAGCATTACGTACGACATTATGATATTAAGCGCAATTACAATCGCGTTGGTTCAATTAGAAATTCGGATAAATTTATCTTTTTGAACAAAGCCGAATTTAAAATGCTCAACTGTGTGATCATAACTATATTACGTTGCAGAACAAAATAAATTAAGCTTAACATCATATTATCATTTGGTTCGAGTTCACTACAAAACTCTCTTCACCTTTTATTAAATTGGAATTCCTTTACTTACTATATAGTTCTCATCTCACACTATGTTATAGATCTCTTTGTTAGCTACACGTGGGTTCAAACCGCGCCCAATTTGGAGCTCTGTAGCTCAAGTTATGCCGATTTTACTAAATCATGTGTATGCTGAAAACGGGCTGCGCGCTTAAGCGTGCTGAGAGCGCTTAAGCGCCCTCCACGACCCAGTTTTTCGTACGGCATGGCGCTTTAGCGCGCTCCAGCGAGCTTAAGCGCCCAAAGGCAGAGGAAAATGGGATTTTTAGGCCACCAATGGCGCTGTTGGTAGTAATTTTCACAAGAAAAAGTTATCGTTCTCACGGAACAGGTTGAAGTATTTTTCTTTGTATTTTTCTGAACAAAAGAGTTCTTGAATTGAAATTTTTTTATTTTTATAACAAGAAATTTTGGATAGTCTTTATCAACTATTAAAATCTGATCTAAAAAGTAAAGAAATGATTTGTCAATGTTAAAAGGCTTCTGAGTATATCTCAAATCATGGATGACAAAATTATTTGCTTTACTGCAAATTCGTACACTGCTATAGCATGTTTATCTCAATTTCTGAGTTACTACGGCAGGTTTAGCTGAAACTTTCCAGATTCAACAATAAGGTTCAAGAAAGACTTTTCCCAAAGCTTCTTGAATCTTTATAGAAATTTATATCAGAAAACACCTTCGATTATTCCTAACCAAAAGGGTTCATTTAACACTTAACAAAAATTCATTTTCCAATTTCTTTTTGTTGAAATACTCAAGTCTCATTCCCATGGAGTTCTTGAGTTAAAAAGATGAAAGTATCAAACGAATGAGTTAAAAAAACAATAACAATGCACATCAGAGAATTTCACCCAATCATTTTGACAAACCCAGAAAAGAAAAGAACTAGAAACCCATTTTCACTAACAGCAAATCAAAGATTAAAGACTATAAAGCATGGACACGTTATTTTTTTAAAAATATACGTGTCGGACACGTGTCGGACACGGACACGCTCCGACACGTTCCGACACGCGTCCGACACGCGGTCAATATTTTAGGACACGTTGACTATCTCGACACGCGATTTTGACCGTGTCCGACACGGTCAAAGGGTAGAAATGGAAAAAAAAATCGTGTATTCATCGGAACCCTACCGGAGATTTTGGGGTTTAGAGAGAAATGAAATGGAATGAGCAATATTATAATGTAAGAGTTAAACGAACATGGTGGATGAACCACTTGAATCCGTGAAGCCACTGTAGAAGATGAAGTCAGTGTAGAAGATGAAGCTGGAGATAGAATTAGGAGCGAAGATACTTAACGCAGAGAATTACCCCACCCATGCGTTCCAAGAAATAGATGTAAGTTAAGGAAGTTCACTGGAAGAGTTAAGGAAGTCAGTGTAGCGAAGATGAAGTTGGGAGAAATAAAAAATATCTAACCAGTCCCACGCATTCCAAGAAAATTAACGCAGAGAAATTATGGCTCTGCCCACACATGCGTTCCAAACAAGCTATCCCAATTCCCAACGGCTAAGACATGCAGGCAACCAACCAATCAGATTCAAGGTAATAGATTTCCAACCAATCCCAATCTTCCAACACCAATTAATCTTATCCTATCTACTTCACTAAATACTAAATAGCCTTTAAAACACTCCATTTGTCTTTTCAAATAAATTTTTTTATTTAATATTTAAATTAAAAAAGTTACAATAATTACTATCAGTATTGATTTCCACAGGATAGAATTCAAAATTTTAATTAATAGTAAGACACCTAGAAAATAAAGATAGTTAATTAGGAATCATTAATTTTATGTGGTTTAATATTTTCTTTTTGCCTCTCCTTTTAATGCAAATATATTATTTGATTGATTATATGATTTATTATAAATTATTATATATATTAAATATAAATTATACTATATATATTAAAAATATTATTTAATATTAAAACGTGTCCTAACGTGTCGAAATTTAACATTTTTTGAAATTTACGTATCGGCGTGTCGTGTCGTGTCCCGTGTCCGTGCAACGTAGATTAAAGAAAAAGAAACATGCATTCAGAATTAAAATCAAAGTAATTGTACAAACCAATGTTCCGATCCCTAAACTAGGAACAAAAAAATTTAAACTTCACTTGCATGCACCCTTGATTCTTCCTTCCAGCGAAGATACTTTGTCATTGCACTTCGAGTTCAAGAAGAAAGGAACAACACATTCAACCTTTCTCACAGAATCTATTCAACACTCAGAGTCTTCTAAAAAAAACAACGAACAACGAAGATTAAATTTTTTTTCTAAAAATCTAATCTATGTTTTATAACGCACAAAAATTAACTAAAACATAAATCTCCTTTCTTTTTGTAGTCGTCCATCTTCTGACTTATCCAATGGTTCTAAATTGTTCCCTCAATTTGATCCACGTGCCTTCTGTATTCTTTTTACCTGAGCTGAAAGTAAAATAGAAAGAATCGTGTAAGAAAACAAGCCTAATTACTTCTCTTTCTATTTTTACCTTCCTTTTTTTACTCGGGCCATTTTAATTCTTTTTAGGCCCATTTACCTGCAACATCAATTATTCACAGCCCAAAGAGATTTAAATAACATAAAATAATACAATATATATATATATATATATATATATATATATATATATAATTTAGTGCTAACAAAATACTCCAAACTTAGGTAATTGCTTGCCCTCAAGCAATCAGATAAACATTCACTCAGAAAATAGTATGTTAGCTCAAAATACACAGTCACATAGCTAGGGGTGTCAATATGGGTTTTGACACGCGGGTCAACCCGCGACACGACACGAAAATTCGTG